ACAAGCAAAACACCCACACACACACGAAATGAAAAGACACTTTCTCTTTAAAAGATAAATTATTGGAGCTGGAGAGAAGGGCACTGATGCCTCTTCCAGAGGACCTGAAGTTTGATCCCTGTGCCAGTGACTGCAGCCCCAGGGGATGAGATACCCCCTTCTGACCATCCTGTCCTGTGACACATGTACATACATGCAGACACAACGCCCATATACATAACCATAGATAATTAAAATGTTTTAAAGATAAACTATTGCTATAACAGTATCTTATAAGACCAGCAAAATGGGTTGTTTTGTATTTTTAATTGACAGGTAAAATGTACTCACCATATACAATGTAAAATGATTATACATATACACATATATTAGAATAGCTATCTCTCACTAACATGTGCTTTATCACACAATGCTTCTGTTTTTCTCTGGAAAACAAAGGATTGAGACTGTAGAGTAAGAAAGCACAAGGGAGGTTTTGGAAGTGGTAAAGTTATCCTTTATCTTGATTGTGGTGATTACACAAATCTGTATGTGCTGTAAAATTCATATAACAATACATCAAAAGCCTACTTTATTATATAACAATGTGCAATTATTGTATGTGTGACAGTGGCATCATGGTTCTTTTTAAGGCTTTATCTTTCCAAGGCATATGCTAAAATATTTCAGGGCAAATTATATTAAGCATGGGGTGCTACAGAATATTAGCTTAAGATGTATTCCATTTGTTTACGCTGTGGGTCATTTGTTTAATCGTGCAAAGATGTGTTGCTTTTGTTGATGCTGCATTTGTTTGCCTCTGTGAAGCTGTGTTACTTTGTCTAAAATACCTGATTGGCTTAAAAAAGAACTGAACTGCCAATAACTAGGCAAGAAGGAGAAATGGGTGGGGCTGGCAGGCAGAGAGAATACAAAAGAGAGGAGCTAGGAGCCAGAAAAGGAGGCAAGGAGGATGCCAGGGACCAGCCACCCAGCAACAGAGCCAGCCACGGAGTAAGAAGGAAAGAAAGACATATAGAATAAAGAAAGGTAAGAAGCCCAAAGGCAAAGCATAGTTAAAGAGAAACAGGGTAATTAGTTAAATTAGAAAAGGTGGCTAGAAGCAGCCTAAGCTAAGGCTGGGCATTCAGAAGTAAAAATAAGTCTCCGTATGTTTATCTGGGAGCTGGAAGGCGGGCCCCCAGAGAGTGAAAAACAAAACTACAATGGGGTTTGTTTAAAATAATGCTGGAAGGGATGAGCAAATTGAACTGCTCGATGAGTAAAGTTCTTGCCACACAGGCCTGAGAACTTGAGGTTTTCACCAGTGCCCATGGGAAAAGATGGATGTGGTAGTATATACCTATAACCCCAGATCTAGGAAGTAGAGATAAGAGGATCCTGGGACTTACAGGCCAGCCAGTAGCTGCAGGCAATCAGGCAGCTCCAGGTTCAGTGACTGACCTTGTCTCAGAATATATGGTAGACGCTGAGTATAGCGGTGAACACTTTAGTCCCAGCACTCAGGAAGCAGAGGCGCATGGACCTCTGTGTAGACTAGTCTGGTCTCGAACTCACAGAGATCCATCTGCCTCTGCCTCCCTACTACTGGGACTAAAGGCGTGTGCCACCACTGCCTGACACCCAACTCTTTATTTTTAGTTTTTTGGGGAGAGAGGAGGTTCATGGGGTGCTGGGTCAAGTCATTGCTTAAACCAATAGGCTGGTGTCAGGGGTGGTGTCGAAGTAAAGCTTCAGTTGCCTTTCAAAACAAGGTCTCTTTTTTAAGGCTCCTTCAGAGGAGGTGGGGGGTGGTGCTCCACCATCAGGGCAATAAGCCTGGTTAATATGTGACCAGCAGAATGGAATGACCTGCAGGGTACACAGGGCTGTTAATGTGTAGCATTGGTCAAGCAGCTCAGGTCATTCCTGAGCAGCATGGAGGTTGGGCCTTTCGGCCCTCTATGGCCATGGCCTACTTACGCGAAAGGTCTGTCTTCCTGCCGGAGACAAGACAGTGGAGGACACACAGCGGTCTCACATACTCCACCCAGTGGTTCCCAGAAGCACACTCTAGCCGCGCCACGCCCCGTTGACTGTAAGTACACTTTCCTCTTGTTCTGCATCTCCCCCTCCCTGCCCCATCCCACTCAGGAAAAGGAGGGGGAGGACCTGGAGCCTCTACAGACCCAGGCAGTAAGAAGGTCAGTGGCGGTCGCTAAGTCAGAGGCTCCAGAAGGTAATCCATGGGTCTGCCAGACCGGAAAAATAAGTAAATAAATAAAAAAGAAGGGGCTGGATGTGGTGGTGCATGCCGACAGGATATGCCAGAGAGGCAGAGGCAGGAGGATCGTGAATTGGAGGCCAGGTGGTGCACAGTCATCTGCAATCCCAGTTTTTCTCATTTCTTTGGGCATAAGGCATGCACACGGTACACATACATACAAGCATACATAAATACCAACAGGCAAGATAGTCATACACAGAAGATAAAATGAGGAATTATTTTTTAAAAGTTAGAAAGCATGGACCCGCCCCCCACCATTTCAACCTTTCCTACAGAGATGGGCACTTCCCCATGCCCTGTGACGCTGACTTCCCTATAGACAGTGTTTCTGAACTGTCCTTAAACAGTGTTTCAGAGCAGACGTTCAAGCTGCTGTGAACGCTCTGACAGGCATGAGCCCAGGTCTGAGTGACATTTCCAGCTAGCCCAGATAAGGAAAACAAAACCTTTCTTGGGTCACTCAGAGTTGACTGAAAACCGAGGCTTCATTGTCCCTAATGCCCTGAAGGTGTTCATCGCCACTGTCGATAATGCCATTCACAGATGTTTCAACCAGTACTGTATCTCAAACAGCAAATGCCACTCCGTTTGGGAAACTTGTGTGAGAAAGCATGGCCATCTTGGCAAATGTGCAGCCCCAGCGGCTTCTGGTCTGTTTCTGGTCCCTGTTCCATGCTTGTACTGTGGGCAGAGCTGAGTCCTAAACCCTAAGGGAGCCTTGACGCTGTCTTCTGAGTTGTAGTATTCATTTAGCATCTTGCCCCCGACAGGCATTACACTAAAGATGAGCACATCTCACTAGGCCTCAGAATAACTTTATAGACCAAAACCCTTGGAAATTATGAAGTATATTCACCTATTGATGAAGAAATGCAGAGGAATGGAATGGGATAAGCTGTGCAAGGTCACGGGGCCACAAAGGCGAGACGTATCATTCTTGTGCAGTATTACCTGCCTTGGTGAGGACCCATACTTGGTGGGAAGCTCGACTTAAACCAAAAGGAAGCCCTTGTTTTTTTGTTTGTTTGTTCGTTTTGTTTTTTGTTTTTTAAAATATTTATTATTTGTTTATGTTTTGTGAGTGCTAGGCTTCCTTGTTTGAATACATGTGCACCGTGTGTGTAGTGCCTGAGGATGCCAGAAGAGGGCACCAGAACCCCTCGAATTAGACTGACAGCCGGTCTCAAGGCTAGTATGTGGGTGCTGGGAACCCGGCCAGCGCCCTTCTCAGAGTGGTGAGCTCTTAACCAGGAAGCCATTTCCCCAGCCCCTCCTAACTGGTTCTGATGAACTGGTGAGCAAAATCGGTTGTTTTGTTTGAAGGACTAGGAAATGAAGTCGCTGTGCCACTCTTCCTGGAACAGACATCAGCCAGACAGTACAATTGCCTGGCGTGGCAACCTGCTGGGGGAAAAAAAAAATGATATTAAAAAAATAAGTCCCAAGAACTGCCATCTGATGACTTCCTGTTGTATTTTAACCCCGTCTCTGGCTCAACACTCCACTTTCCACGAGGCTTTCAAGCCTGCTAGAAGCTTTCTCATCACGCGAACTAGCCTGGCTCCACGTTAGAGAGAACGGCCATCCCTCCCCTTTGGAGCACCCGTAAGTGGGGGGGATCCAGACCAGAAAGCTAGAAAGGAGTGGACTGGGACTGCCTGGACACCGGCACGCATACTCGGACCACCCGATCCTGAGGAAGAGGAGGATGACCACACCGGCTTCTCCTTAGACCACGCCCTGGGGCGCTCCGCCCCCGGAGCCCCGCCCCGCCCCCGGAGCCCCGCCCCCGGGCCCGCCCCGCGGCGCATTGTGGGATCTGTCAGCCCCACCGGAGCCTGACGCGGCGCTCGGTCATGGGGATCCAGCCGGTAAGACCCCCGTTCGATGCCCTGAGCCCGGGGTGCCCGGCCCAGCTCGGCTCCGCGGGGCAGCGCTGGATGCCGGGGTCTCGCTGCATCCACTGCGGGCTGGGGAAGCTGCCCCGCTCACTGCTGCGGCTTTGGCATACTTTCTCGCTGGAGCTCGGGATCGCCGCCCCTGGTCCCCCACCCACACCCCACCCCTGGCTCCCCTTCTCCGTGGCGATCACGCTTCCCCCTCTGCCCGTAGAGCCCGGTCCTGCTGGCCTCTCTGGGGGTGGGGCTGCTTACTCTGTTCGGACTGGCTGTGGGTGCCTACCTGGTTCGAAGATCCCGCCGGCCGCAGGTCACTCTCCAGGACCCGGATGAGAAGTATCTGCTGCGACTGCTAGACAAGACCGTAAGTTGTGAAGGGGGCTAGGGTACAGAGGGCACCGAAGCTCTCCCGTTCCGAGGGACAGCCTCCCGCGGGGGTTGGCTTGCTCGAAGGCACTTGGCAGACCAGACCTGCTTGATGAAACATCTTTGTCATTCATCCCCTAGACCGTGAGCCATAACACCAGGAGGTTCCGCTTTGCCCTGCCCACCGCCCACCACATTCTGGGACTGCCTGTGGGTGAGGAAACGGGAGCGGGCTTCTCTCCTTGGTATGCTAGGAGGTCGAGTCCCTGCTTAGCTATTTCCCCTGTACACCTCATTCCCCTTTACTCATTTGGCTCGGAATCCTTCAGCCTGTGAGGGACCACTCCCGTAGGGTGTGGCTTCTGTGCCTCCAGACATCTCTAACCGCCAGCGTAGTCCTTCGTGTTTCCTGTAGGATTTGTCATAACCCCCCTCCCACCCCAGCAAACACTAATTTCTTTCCGTTGTGCAAACCCTCTGCTCACCTGGGGCTCGCTGCTAAGGTCAGGGCAGTAGCTGAGGGTGTTTCTCCGGTGGGAGGAGGCAAAACTACTGCCTCGGGGTCCTCCCCAGGGGACAGTTCTTTGGACCTGCACCAAGAACCAAACTATCCTTTTCTCTCAAATCTGAGTGTTTTTGAAAGGTGATAGGGCCATAGCATATTTACAGCAGCTCGTGTAACCCTCCCCCGTGGTTCCCAGGCAAGCATGTCTACCTCTCTGCCCGAGTTGATGGCAGTCTGGTCATCAGGCCTTACACTCCTGTCACCGGTGATGAAGACCGAGGCTACGTGGATCTTGTCATCAAGGTAAGAGTAGAGAAAGGAAATCTGGGGGCTGGGGAGATGGATACCCGAGAATTACCATAAACTCAGGGCTTGGGGGCCAACTAACCTTTCAAGAACGAGGAAGATCCTGTCTCAAACAAGATGAAAGACACAGACCAACACACACACACACAGACACACACACGCGCGCACACACACATTTTCTTCCTCTCTTCCTCATCAGGTTTATCAAAAAGGTGTGCACCCCAAATTTCCTGAAGGAGGAAAGATGTCTCAGTACCTGGATAGCCTGAAGATTGGGGATGTGGTTGAGTTCCGGGGGCCAAGTGGGTTGCTCAGTTATGCTGGAAAAGGTGAGTATCTGTCTTTTCCTTCCTACTGTCTCAGCTCTGCCCCTGCAGTACCCTGGTATGCGTGCATGTGTGTACCTGTATCAGGTCTCCTAAAACACCTATGCTACAGAAAGACAGGCTTCACTTTGTTCACCAGTCATGGCGGACAGCTGTGGAGATTACCAAAGTAAACCTGTGCCTCTCCTTCCCTCCCTCAAAGATTCCTCCCTCTGCCTAAGGACCAAAAGAGAAAGCTTTTAGACCTTCCCAAGGTAATAGCTGGGTGCTGTACCATAGCCCTGGTGATGCTCCTGCCCACTAGGGAAACTAAATTCACCCTGGGCCGGTGCCTACCACCTTCACCAGGGAGCAAGCCTCTGCCAGAGTGTTTGCTACACACACACACACACACACACACACACACACACACACACACACACCTTCCCTTGCCCCCACTTGTCAGTGAATCTCACAGACTGTGGGACCACTGGGCTTCTTTGGGATGTGGCTTCTGTGTCCCTACTATGTGAACTGGCCGGTGGGCAGACAGCCCAGCCCCTTTGCCCTTCCTGTGTAATTAATTGTCAGGGCCAGTTTAACTCAAACCTCTGTCCATGTCCCAGGATCAGATTTCACCGCAGCTTCTAAAACAGCCTGGGGCACGATTTCAACCCTGCAGTTGTTTACTCAGTTGTTGCTTGGAGCTGACTCTGACTCTTCACTTTGGCTTCTCAGGGAATTTTAACATTCAGCCCAACAAAAAATCTCCACCTGAACTGCGAGTGGCAAAGAAATTGGGAATGATTGCTGGTGGGACAGGTCTGTGATTTTTGCTTAGTATTGTCTGGTTTGGCTATGCAGAGTTCTAGATGATCTCGGGTTTTACAACAGAGGACAGGCCATTAATCAAGGGACCTTTCCTCAGTAGCTGAAATCATAAGCAAGTAGAAACAAAATAAAAATAAAATCACAGAACGAGAGCAATCAATCAGGCAGGTTCTCCACAAACTGAGTGGGTTTAATGACTTTGAGAGGAACAGATAGTTGAGGAGGAAAAGCCAGGCTTGGTGGGTCAGATCTGTAGTTCCAGCTAGTTTGAATCAAGAGGCTCACAAAGCTTAGGATCGGCCTTGGCTACTTTGTACATAAATACAGAGTTCTAGCCACGTTCAGTGAACGCGGTGGATAAATACAGAGTTCTAGCCACGTTCAGTGAACGCGGTGGTAGAAGAGCACTTACCTAGCATGTTCGATGTCCTGGAGTCAATCCTCTATGTCATAAAAGGAAAAAAAAATGTACAGTAGTAATGATCTTAGATAACTACTACTCTGTTAGTACTTAACTACAAGCCTTTCTCATCTGCAGATGAGGAAATGGAGATTCCTAGAGCTTAGGTTTCCACAGGGTCCTTTGGTTGGTTTTGGTTTTCAGAGACAAGATTTCACTGTGTAGCCAATGGCTGTCCTGGAACTCATTCTGTAGACCAGCCTGGGCTCTGCCTCCCAAGTACTTGGATTAAAGACGTGCACCACCCCTGCCCGGCTACCACAGGGTTATTTTAGTTAGTAATGGCCACAGGCAGGATTCAAATCTGACTCTGCCTAATTCCAAAGAACACATTCTTACCCTCTGTAAGCAATGTTCCAGAACTCTTATCACTGAAGCAAGATCTTGTTATGTAGCTCTGGTTGGCTCAGAACCCACTGTGCCCTCACAGAGATGTGACAGAGTGCTGGGCGTTAAAGCCATGTGCTATCAGATCTGGCCTAATCGATAATGTTTGTGTTCTTACCTCCAAGGGACTTTCAGAGCAAGTGTCTCAGATCCTCTGCTTAGGAGGATGTCTACACCGTATTCTTATGTGAACATTAGGCTCCAGAACTGTAGGTCCTGGAGAAAGGGCAGGTGGAGGTCAGAGGATTAAACACAAGGAGAAAACGCATGGAGTGTGAGCGGCATGCTCTGAGATGACAGAGTTGGTCAGCACAGGAGCTGGGACGGAGCAGAGAGAGCGCATCTCTCTAGCTGACGCATCTCTCTGGGCTGGACCCTCCTGCAGGAATCACCCCGATGCTGCAGCTGATCCGGGCCATCCTCAAAGTCCCTGAAGATCCAACTCAGTGCTTTCTGCTCTTTGCTAACCAGGTTCGTTGGCTTTCCGGAGCCCCGGGATTTTAAAGTTGGCCGTGGGAGTAGATAGGGCTGAGGGAGAGGACTGGCTCAGGGCCTATCCTAGTATCTGTCCAGAGACCCTCTGTGAATGCAGGGTCCTCCATCACGAACAGAAGGAAGGGCAGGGACCAGCAGGAAGAAGGTGTAGATTTGGTTCCCAATTCCCGCATGGCATCTCACAACCTTCTCCATGTCCAGTTCTAGGAGACCTGGCACTCTCTTCCCAGGGGCAATGGGTACCCACGCAATGCACTTAGCATACACACCGGCAAAACCCTCATAAAATAAAAATAAATACTGAAGAGAGGAAGAGAGAGAGGAAGGGAGGAAGGAAGAAAAGAAAGAAAAGGAACAGAGTACTAAGCCAAATTTCTTCCTTGGCCCCAGGGAAACAAGAGAAGATGGAGGTGTCATGTGCTGAGGATAGGGACTCGGGCCTTCTTGTTCAAATGTCCCTTTCTCATGGGTAAATGAGCTCACCTCCTGATCCTTAGTGCCTAAAAGTACTGCCAAGTCTTGACTCTTCTTAGAACTTGAGCATGCCTTTAGCATTGTCCTTCCTTCTTGGCCGGAAGGTTGTCATAGCCAAGGGCTCTTCTGATGTGGGCCTGAGGTTTCTAAGACCCAGCTTCCCCGTTTGCATTCCAGACTGAAAAGGACATAATCCTACGGGAGGACCTAGAGGAGCTGCAGGCCCAGTATCCCAACCGCTTTAAGCTCTGGTTCACTCTGGACCACCCTCCGGAAGGTATCTCATCATTTCTGAACATCTGGATAAGTCCTTTTGTTACCTAAATCAGACCTTGCCCCTGTGGGAGTTCTAGGTCCAGTAAAACAGGCCCTCCCGACACTGCCAGGGTCCTAAATCCATGTGCACAGACCAAATGACCTCCTGACCCCTTTCCTTCCTTCCCGCTCCTGTTTTTCAGGCGGGTGGCAGGAATGTGGCTCTAGTTGCTTCTATAACCTGCCACCTTCTCAGGAAAGACCCCCACCTCTGGTCTTCCCTGTGGCCTGTCCTGGAAACAGCACATTCTCTTGCTGATGTGGATCTGTTCTCCTCTCCCTATAATCCAGAGTGGACCTACAGCAAGGGCTTCGTGACTGCTGACATGATCCAGGAGCACCTGCCCGCCCCCGCCGATGACGTCCTGCTGCTGCTCTGTGGGCCACCGCCCATGGTGCAGCTGGCCTGCCACCCGAACTTGGACAAGCTGGGCTATTCACAAAAGATGCGGTTCACCTACTGAGCGTCTCGACGCCTCCCTCACCCCATGCGTGCGGTTGTCGGTCGTCCCCAGTCAGTTCGCGACCACCACGAGGTCAAGTGCCTTTGTTTTGTGTGTGTGTCTCATCCGGAAACCGGATGCTTGAAGAAACAACACTCCTCTAGCTATGGTAGAGGCAGGTCAGGCTGGAAGCCTCCCTAACCCTAATCCCGTAAGATAGAAGGTGCAGATGAAGTTCACCAAGCACAGGAAAAAGGAGCATGTACATTTGTCAGAAGGCTGGCTAGTTCTTGAGGGCAGCATGGGCTCACCTTCTTCGTGTCTGTGACGGAGGCAATGGGAAGGGTGTAATTCATTTTGCTCAGTATTCAGCAACTCTACTACTTATGTGAGTAGCCGTTGAGTGGGTTTACAGACAGGGTCCTGCGGAAAGTGAAGGAAAGGAATTATCTTCCACAACTCTAAACCTCAGAGAAAGGAGTCTGACCACATATTTTCGTGTGTGTCTCTCAGCCCCTGCCCAGGCTAGAGCGAAATGCTTACCCATAATTTACGACTGCTGCTTGTACAAGGAGTCTCTGGCTGTTCAAATAAATGGAGCTGAGCCCCCCCCCCCCATGATCTCAGGAGTCATTGTGTCTGGGGTGTTTGTCTCCTGATGCCTGAGGACATTGGAAGGGAAGGGTTCCCAGCGCAGAATCTCCTGGGTGTTTTAAAGAGCTTCTGAGGAGTTGTGCCTTGTGCTGAAATGTGAGCCACCACCAGACACAGGGCTCATTCCTGCAGAGCCAGGGCCCAAGTCCTCCCTTGGATGGAGGGAAGAAAAGATGGGCAGAGGAGGCTCCTAGAGTATGGGTAGCCCTTCCAGTGGTCCCTTAGTTTGGTCAGTCTTCGCTCTTCCTGTGGGCCTGCCTTCATGTTACTTCTCCTTCAGAAAGTATTGCCTTTCCATCTGGGAGGGACAGCTGCCCTTTTAAAAAGTAACCTGGCATCACCAGGTCTGGACAGATTTGGTGGCAGGACAGAGTTGGCCTCTCCCAGGCCCATCAGTCCTAAATAGCCTGCTGTGCTGGAGAATTCAAGATTCTCCTCATTCGTCCCCGGATAGGACTAAGGCAGCATTGCGGCTTTGTTGTTAGTCTCATTGGAAGAAAACAATGCTTTGGATTCAGTTGGAAGGTCAATTTTGTTTTGTTTTCCATTATGTTGTGTATGTGTGGGTGTTTTGCCTGTATGCACGTCTATGCACCATATGCATGCAGTACCCAAGAATGCCAAGAGACAGCATCAGATCCCAGGGAACTGGAGTTAGCGACATTTGAGAGCTGTGCATGGGGGTGCTTGGAATTGAACCCCGATCCTCTGGAGGAGCAGCCAGTGATATTAACTGTTGAGTCATCTCGCCAGTCCCTCAACATTGTTTTTCTGCATGGAACTGGCTATCTGCTCTGGGATCCTGATAGAAGATTTATGAGACCCTTAGAATTCACACACACACACACACACACACACACACACACACACACAAAGAGAGAGAGAGAGAGAGAGAGATCCTAATGGCATTAGGACAGATAGTTCAGTAATTCTGTTGGTGTTATTCCATCTAATGTATCTTGACTATTTAGTACGTGTGTGCCACTGCTCTGAGAGCCACCTCACCTTCAGAAAGGAAATCCATGCTGAAGGTTGTTGAGCTTAGTGAAGCAGTCCAGCAAAGAGAGTCGACTGTATGAAGCTTACTTGTGCTCATTTTCCACAGAAATGAGTGCAAACGTTTATTAAGAACCCATCACGTGAGCAAGCAGTGTATCCTGAGGTTAGAGCCCTGACCAAGAGTAGCTGCTGGTGGACTTTCTCCCCCAAACACCTCCAAGTCTAAGACAGACAAGGAGCAAGCCATCTCAGCATAGGGTGATCAACCCTGCTGAAGACATATCGGGTCCTGAAGGAGGGGGTTGAGGAAGAGTCAGAGGAGGAAGAATTTGCATGTTGTTAACAAACATGTACCAGGTACCATGATAAGAATCCCGCCTACATTGCCCAATATAATCCTTATGCTAATCTTGTGAATTGAAGATTAAGGATTTGCTAAAGGAAATAGAGCCGGTCAGTAGCTGGCAGAGCCTGAAGCTGAATTTAGACTTATCTGCAGCCAAACAAAGCCAAACTGCTTGGATATTTTTGGAAGATGGTGAAGGATCCGAGCGCAAAAGTCGGAGGAGTCAAAGAGGAGGCTGGCTAGGAAAGGAAACACGTCTACATGAACTCAGAGTCAGACTTTTAACTAGAACAAAACTGACTTCACTCTCCTGGGCCGTCCATCTAGCATCCGGACGCCTTTCCAGCATCTAGAACCATCTTAGAGGTGCATCGTTCTTTGGAGTGTAAGAAAATTTGGACAGCTCCCAAATTCTATATTGGGTGGTTCAGCTGCGGCAGAGGAACACACCCTATCTTGTTTTCCAGTTGTGCTCTCTGGGTCACATGGGAACATGGGGTGGAGCAGAAAATTGTCAAGCTAGGCTTGTTTGAAACAACTTCTCCCCTTCTGAGAAATAGCAGGAGCCAAGACTCACGGTAGTCATTCCATAACTAACATACAGAAGGAAGAAAGGGAGGGAGCAGGAAATTGGATATAGAAACGAAGAGTTTCGGGGATGTGTATGGTGACGCACCTTTGTAACCCCAGCATTCGGGAAGCTGAGACAGGAGGATTACCGCTAGCATGAGGCCCACCTGGGTTGCAGAATTAAACCTTTTCTTAAAAACAGAAATAAAATCGTTTCGGTGCTAGAGATGTAGTTCAGCGGTACAGGGCTTGCTTAGCGGTCCAATTTCCAACACCGAAAAAAGTGGAGGAAAAAAAAAAAAAAAAGTGTTTCGGAGCCGAAAAGCCAGGGAGCAGGGTGGGGAACTCAGCATCCCTTCCCCGGGGTCTGCTCTGATTCTCCCTTTCCCACCGCGCGCCCAGTGCGCGCCCTGTGTGCAAAGACGCCTTTGCAGCTAGCCAGTGAGGGGCCAAGCTGCGACGGCCGGAGCGCGCCATTGGTTAGAACGGAGGCGAGGCGGGGCGTGCGCGGGGGCGCGCGGGTGATTGGCACGCGCAGGGAAGCCTGGCTCGGAGGGGGCCGAGGTAGCGCCGGGAAGGTGACGCGGCTGCGGAGGTGACGCCGTGCGGTCGCGCGGCCCTTCCGGCGCGGGCAGGCAGGGCGCTGAGCATCGGGCGCGCCTCGGCCGCAGGCCACCCCCAGCGCCGCGGGCGGGATGTAGCGCCCGGGCCCGCGGCCCCCAGCAGACGCAGCCGGCCAGGCCGTGAGTGCGGGGCGGGTGGGCGGGGCGCGAGCGCTGCAGGCTGCGGTCGGGGCTGCCCGGGAGCCGTCCGGCCCGGCCCTCGGCAAAGTGCGCGGTAAACATTTCCGGCCCCTCCCGCCGCGCGCCGCCGCCGCCGCCGCCTCCGATCGGGGGTCTGCTCGCGGCGCTCGGAGGAGCCCGGCGGTCCCCGAGCGCAGCCTTGGCAGCAGCGCGGGAGGCGGCCGCGTTCCAGCCCTGCTGGCGGCGACCCCCCCCACACACACACACCCGGAGTTGAACCTGCGACGGGAGTATCGGCCCCGGGTGGCCGGGGACCCCTAAGGTCCCCCCGCCATCCGCCTCCTGGATAGGGTTGCAGGGCAGGTTGGTTGGTGGTGGACAGGCCTAAGGTAACGCACACTCAGCCAGAACGTAAACAGATGCTAGGGTTGGTAGATGCTGTTTTGCTTGAGAATGTGGGTCTTCTGGCGCCAGGCTTTGAGAAAATAAAGTGGCTGTCCGCCGGTTTTCTCGTGCTTCGTGGGTGAAGAAGCTGGCCGTCTTTCAGGTGTCAGCCGAGCACCAAGAGGCCACGGGATCTGCGATGTTAATCAGATTATTTCCCTCGAGTGTTTAGCAGACGGGCCAGAGAGCCCAGCAATTGCAGTGCCTTGGTGAATCAAACGAAGATGGCAATGGGTGGTGCTTTCCCAAACCAGAGTAATGTTGGGATGTGTTTACCGCCTTTGCCTGGTGATAGTGCGGGGCAGACGCTGTTGGTGATGGTGCAGCCTCTGTGCCTGGGGCTTCAGATAGGATGGCGCTAAATAGATTGCGGTGTCAGAAGTCCCGGCTTGCGGCCACTACCTTCCTTTATTTCAGAAGTAGCTTCTGTGTCCCTGTTTTGGGAGAGGTCCTTGAGAAATCAGCCTTAAAAATCCCGTGTTGCCTGTGAAGAATTGGACTTTGTTGTGGGCCCTCACTTGCAGAGTAGAACCTCAGGTGGTGTTCCCAGAAATTACACGGATTTCTGAAGAAGGAAAGAGGATACTACTACCTGCGCGTAAGAGCGAATCTTAGGGAGCACCCTTAATTTAATACCCCCCCCCCCCGCCGATGGACATAGTGAGGTACCTTAAATGGGGTGCTAGGCTGACTTCTCTCTCTTCAGGGTGACCTCATTTGGGAAAAGTGGGTTATTTACTGCTCTGGGTGCCTTATTTCTTCACACCCCTGCTTAGACGACTGTCCTTTCCTGGGTTACCCTGCTACTGTGTATACCATATCAAACCATACAGGACTCCTACAAAGCTTTCCAAGACAGGGTTTCTCTGTGTAACAGCCCTGGCTGTCATAGAACTAACTCTCTTTGTAGACCAGGCTGGCCTCGGATTTAGAGACCCACCTGCCTCTGCCTCCTGAGTGCTGGGATCAAAAGCATGTGCTACCACCATGCCCAGCTAATTTTTTTTAATTTTTAAAGATGTTATGTGTACAGCTGTTTGGTCTGCATGTATATGTATGTGCATGCCTGGTGTCCACACTGGTGGCCCTCCAGGAAGGGACAGTCACCTAAGCAGGGGGTGGAGAACTGTGAGCCAACGTGACTGCTGGGGATTAAACCAGGGTCCTCTGGAAAAGCAGAGAGTACTGTTAACCACGAAGCCAGCTCTCCATTGCCTTGCAGCCCTCAGGAAACCCTTTTTGTTGTTGTTGTTTTGTTTTTGTTCTCGAGACAGGGTCTCTCTGTGTGGCCCTGGCTGTCCTGGAACTGGCCTCGAACTCACAGATGTCCTCCTGCCTGTGGAATTCAGGGTGTGCTCAGCAACCATTCCAAGCTTCTTAGTCTGCTTTCGCCTCTCTCAGTGGCCAGAACTGTGCACTTTGTAGTACTCAATAGATAATCTCTGGCCAAAAGATGGAGTTTATCCTTCGTTGGAGGCCAGGGAGGAGGAGGAGTTCCCTGCTTCTGTAGGAAGTAGTGTAAAGCCAAGTTGAAACTCTGGCACTCCCCTGCCATGTCAACTGCCCATCTACTTGTCATCTTCTCGTCTCCGGGCTCTGTTAAGTAATGTGGTGGTGCTGGTATTCGTCAAACTTGCTGCTTTTTGTCCTTGATGTGCCTTTGTCCCTAATCTGCTGCTCAGACAGTTCTCACCAGACTGAACTTGGTCCCACTTTGCTGCTCAGAAATGCTGGGGTGTGACTAATGCTTATGAAGTTTGGAGCAGTCTCGGGCTGCGGAGATCTTGAAGATACTCTCTAGCCAAACCAGTTCGGGTGATTGGCTTTTAAACAAGCACCTGTCAGTTCCCTTGCGAGTTTAT